TGTTACGTGCCCAGGACAATGTTTAGAGTGCTCCGTGCTCTGAAGGAGTGGTAAAAAATAAGTGCAACACAATTTGTTCTTGGAAAAGTAATTTTTTGTTTCAACGAACAAAAATAAGGGCCATGAGACAAACCAGAACGGCGAAAACATGGAGACGATTTGCCTTCGAGACTAAGTACGGTGTAAAACACATTGAAGGTTCAGAACGATATTTAGAATGTGCTCGAAAAAACTGAAATGAAGTGGAGGGTTCTGTGCAGCACAATTAATCTTCTTGATGTAGTAGTTTCGAGATTTCAAGCAAGAAAACAGGGCCATGAAAAGGTACGAGGATGACAAAAAAAGGAAGCGTTCTGCTCAGATGTGGCTACAAGACTGGGTTCGACACCATGGTTCTGAGGTCATGAAACTTCATTTCAAACAGCTGAGTTTAATTTCCCTGACGAAATGACTTGTGGACTGCGCAGGCGAAGCAACAAGCACACATACTGAAAAAACGCAATTCGATAAAAGATCTCTGCTTCTCATACTAAAAAGAGAATGCCATAATTGAGCTAGGAATAGCGTCTCGGAAGCCGCGAGCATAAACGCACACACACAGAGACGCGCGTAAGGCGACCACGTTGCAGGAAAACAACTCGCGTGCGACACATAGTGGACTCGTCCAATAATCAAGTCCAATAATCAACACAACGAAAGGACGAGCCACAGCCCCACACAGCTGAGCGAGAGCTGAGTGAGCGAGCGAGAGAAACAGGCGTTAGAATCGCAGTTTCATGGCTAGGGATACTTGCTTGAGCCCGGCCAGCCTTGCCCAACGCCTCGTGCTCTCATGCTTGGCGCTATGTTGGCGTTGTGTGTTGCGACTGATGGCGGTGGCAATCAACGCCGCCTGGGGGCGGGGCTGAGGCGCGTGAGAAAGCGCATCATGGCACGTGAGAATTATGCAGCAAGCAAACAAGACGGTAAACAAGTTACCTAAATCGGCGCAAACTTGGCCGCTGGTCTGCACAGCCGCGCGTGAAACACTGCGAAATGTAGACGATATTATCAATTTCGAATGTGAAACTCGATATCTATGCATCTATGCTGTGTTTTGCTCTCACTGGGTGCCTTTTACACATTTGGACGTTTTTTAGTATTCGGGGGTGAAAGGAGTATCACATCCAAGATGCTAATTTATATAATAAGCGATATCTTTAGGGGAGCATGAATTCTGCTACACTTAGGAAAAAATCTGAAAAAAAGTTCTTTCCCACTTGCAAATACCTAGAGGTTTGGAGCTCACTTATACAGGG